ATTAATCACTAGCAATTTTTCAGCATTTAGGAAAAATCCAGTTGCTAGTACCAACTTAGAGTAGAATCACTGAATGGATGAGACTTGTAAAATTGACACTTCTGTAACTTGTACTGGCTGAAATTTTGTTGTTTAGCATAATAAAGTTGCACTAGAGTGATCCCATTGAAACAGCTGGGGATTTCAGGAGTCAGCTGATCCATGAATTCCATTGATTCAGTAGGTCTACTGTATGTGTGACTTACTATGTTAAGCAACTGGGTTTTAGCCACTGACTGATTCAGTGGATATTTTGTAGTTGTGAATAACAGTTGAATGAAGCCCTTTGTCTTGTTTGTTTTCTGTTGAAATTATGGCTTTTATATTTCACAGTATGCAGTATGAAAAAACATGGGAAAGTGTTTATCCAGGATGTAAGTTCATTATTGATTTTTTGACTTTGCATTTGTAAATTACTAACTGTTGTTTTATAATTTTAGTGATCTTTTGATAAGCTTTAGTAATGCCTACTGAAAGTAATTGTTTAGTTCACATTTAAGTGAAAGGCTATTGAGTTGTGAATTGATACATCAGATGTGCTTGCTGTATGCTGTAAGGAAAAGGTTCCCCTTGATATTTAGTCCAGTCGTGTCCGACTCTAAGGTGTGGTGCTCATACCCGTCTCCAAACCATAGAGTTTGTTCATAGACAGGTTCTGTGGTCACGTGGCCAGCTCAACTAGACAAGGAATGCCATTACCTTCCCACCGTGGTGGTCCCTGTTTATCTACTCGCATTTACATGCTTTCGAACTGCTAGGTTGGCAGGAGCTGGGATGAGCGACGGGAGCTCACTCCATGACATGGATTCGATCTTATGACTGCTCGTTCCTCCGACCCTGCTGCACAGAGGCTTCTGTGGTTTAACCCGCAGCGCCACCACATCCCTGCTGTATGCTGTAGGTCGCAGTAATTTTTTAAAATAACTGTTGGCTTTATATCAGGAAATGCTGAAGAATGGAAAATTGGGAGATGCAGTGGCACATTTCTTTTATTATCAAATGTATAGTATTACTATTTAATGAAATTAGTAAACATGCCATGCGAAGAATCATACTGAGATGTTGCATTTGATGAATTGTGTGTGTGTGTATATCTGAGTGGCCTGAAAAAGTTCGAAGTCCCAAAGACATTTCAATTTGGCATATGCTTTTCTGATGGGCTTGTGACAGTTCTTCATAGTGGTCTCTGTGAATGCACACAAATGGGTTAATCCTGCATCTGCGCAGGATGTCCAGAAGAGTCTAGAGCTTTGAAAAAGAAGCAGTTTAGTTCCCCCCCCGCATAGTATAGGCTCCACCCCCTCAACCTTCCTTTCAGTTCCTCTTTTTCCGCCATTCCATTAGGACATTAGGAAGAGCAGAGCGAATATATTGCTAAGTATCCTAGCTTAGCTAGTTAATTTTCTCACCTTTTTACCTTATTTTGTTTCCTATTCGACAGAAACTTTTATTTTATTTTTGCCTTCATCCTGTCGTTTTCCCCATCCCCACCCCGGATTTCCCTCCTGTTTTATGGCATCTTGGGGCTTCAAGCAGTGTGCCGTTTGCTCCTGCAAAATTCCTTTGTCAGATGGCCACGATAAATGCTTGTTTTGTTTGGGTAAATCCCCCCTTGATCAGACTTGCATTGCCTGCAGGGTTTTTTCTAAACAAGCCATTAAGCTCAGGTGCCAACGCCTTTGGTCTTTTCTCTACGAAAAGACTCTTCTTCCCGCTGTGGAGGTTCCTTCCCTCCCTTCACCAACTCCTCTGCACTCGGAGGTCTCTAAACTGGCGCCTTTCCCTTCTGAACAGTCGGCTCTTACCATCTCCTTGCCTGTAAAGTCCAAGGAAGCCTCTAAACCGCCTAAAGCCAAGGCGCCTTCCCGCCATTACTACAAAAAAGAAAATCAGTGACAAACCTAAGAAACTGAAGAAGCTATCTAAGCACTCTACTTTACCTCCTCCTGCTCCTTCGAGGGAAGGCATCCTCAGTATCAGAGGGAGGAGTCTTCGAGGGAAGGCATCCTCAGTATCAGAGGGAAGGCATCTCTGATACTGAGGAGCACATTCTTCCAGCCTAGATGGCTCAGGACATTATGTGCATGTCTCCGAACTCGGGCCGTTTTGAGGCTGCACCAGCTGCCAGCCTGACCATTGCCCCATCTAGCCCTCGATATTCAGGGCAGGGTGATACAAGTCTCCATCGGAACAGGAGTCTGTCCATGACACTCCTAGAAAATGGACGGAAAAGCATAGACACACCACTCCATACCAACCACAAGATGCAGGAGATGGGTACTGTCAACAAGGCCCGCCACAGTTTGGCCACTCTTTCTACGCTCCATACCAGCCATATTCATACCAGGGTTATGCTTACCCATTCGAGTATCGGAGCACTACCTTTCCTCAACCGGTGTGGCACCATACCATAGCCCCACCGATGCAACCTCACCCACAAACTTGGACCTTTCTACACTGCAGGTGCCTTCACGTAAAAGGCGAGCTTCTACGGTACCTACAGCGCCTCCTAAATTTTTTTGTGTGTGCCAAGTACAGCACCTGCCACTCCTTGGTTCAGGCTACTACTCTCTAAAAATTTTTTTGTGCCAAGTACAGCAGCTGCCACTTCTTGGTTCAGGCTACTACTCTCTACTCTGGTCCTGATACTGAGGTCATGATACTGAGCCTTTTCCCCCATCTACTAGTCTGACGTGGACATTGTACCAGTGGATACGGTGCCACGACGCTCCCCTTCAATCACCTCTCGGTCCTCCCACGGTGACCACTCTTCAGCCTCCAGTGACTCCGACGTTCCTGATGCCGGTGGTCAGGGTTCATCATCTCAACCCTCCTTGGAGGACTTCTCTTTTGCGTATGGCAAAAACTCTCAGTTAGACGCACAGATCCCACAACAGGAACAGGACTCCGTCTTTCACAACATGGAGCAGGACAAAGACTCCCCTCCTAGTCTAAGCCCTTATACCAGCTCTCTTCGACCTGGTCAAAACCTCCCGGGATGTCACCTGTGGCTGTCCAAGTCCCTTGCAAGATCGAGCATCATTATAAAACACATGGATCAGACTCTGAATTCCTCACCAAACACCCTTTGCCCAACTCCATCGTGGTCGAAGCCACCCAATATAAGTTGTGTACCTGATCATCTGTTATACCCATTGACAAAGAAGGGAAAAAGACCGATACCTTAGGCAAAAAACTGTATTCTTTCGCTGCCTTACTAATTAAAATAGCCAACTACCAAGAGGCTATGGGCGTGTACCAGAAACATCTTTGGGATAAAATACTCCTGATGTTACAAATTTTATCTGATCCTTCTAAAACTGAAGCTCTCAACGTCTACGAAGAGGCTAATACCCTCACCAGGCAACAGAGTTTTGTCACAAAACCAACGGCAGACACGGCCTCCAAGTCTATGTTAACTACAATAGCTGTTAGATGCCACGCGTGGCTTAGAATGGCTAACATCCTCGACGACACTAAAACTAAAATCGAAGATCTGCCCTTCAATGCTATTGGACTCTTTAACTCCAAAACTGACGAGATCATGGAGAACATTCCCAAAATGAGGAAGACAGTGAAATCTTACATGCCATACCAGCCGTATCGGTACCACAAACCAACCAACAAAAAGCCTCTGTATCAATCCTCTACTCAATACCAGCCCTTTCGGTACAATAAACAACAGCAGGACAGGACCTATCAATCTCAACAGCCCACCACTCTGCTGTTCAAGCAACAATGCTTTTGCAGCCGCAAGCAGTCCTTTCGTAAGTTTTTTAAAAGGTCTCCAGAATATCCGGCCCCCTTCACAGCATATCGTACCACAGTGGTCCCTTCCACTTGTATTGGAAGCCCTTACCAAGCCACCATTTGAACCTATGGCTACTTGTTCCGAGAAGTTGCTTTCTCTAAAACTACCTTTCTTGTGGCTATCACATTGGCAAGAAGAGCAAGTGAAGTAGTCAGTCAGACCCTCCTTACCTCCAAATGCACCCTGTCAAGGTTACTTTATACTTCTATGTCTCTTTACTACCAAAGGTGGTATCGAATTTTCATATCAATCAGCCCATCTTGCTCCCAACATTATTTCCTTCTCCGTCCAGGCCAGTAGAGCGTAAACTCCATACCCTAGATGTCAGAAAAGCTCTTGCCTTCTACCTTCATCGTACCAAACACATCTGGCACTCCCCACGTCTTCTCTTGTGTTATCATGGACCCACTAAAGGTGCTCCTGCTTCCCCACAATCCATATCCCGATGGATAGTCCAGCTCATACAGTTAGCTTACCAGCTTGCTAATAAGCCTATATCGGACGGACTGAAGGCCCATTCTACTAGAGTGATCTCTACTTTGACAGTTCTACTCAAGGGTATTCAGATACAGAATATCTGCAAAGCAGCTACCTGGGCTAGCCCTCTGACGTTCACGAGACATTCCATCTAGATGTCAGAGCCAAAAGTGATGCGGCCTTTGGAAGGGCGATACTGTCATTCTTGATACCATGACGGCCCTCCTTCTGGTGAGTACAGCTTGCTAATCACCCATTTGTCTGCATTCACAGAGACCACTACGAAGAAAGTTAGGTTACCTACCTGTAACTGTGATTCTTCTACTGGTACTCTGTGAATTCACACATCCCTCCCTCCCCGCTGTCCATCACAATACTGTCAAAATACCATGCTTATCTTCACTCTATACGGTAAAGGCGGACTGAGGGAACTGAAAGGAAGGTTGAGGGGGCAGAGCCTATACCATGCGGGGGGGGAACTTAACTGTTTCTTTTTCAAAGCTCTAGAAACTTCTGGATGCGCCTTAACCGATTTGTGTGAATTCACGTGAGTTCACAGAGTACCACTAGAAGAACCAGTTACAGGTAGGTAACCTAACTATTTCGGTGTCCAGGGTTGAGTAGTTGGTATTGCAGTAAAATGTATTCATGCACTGTGTTTTTGTTTTTTAAGCCAGATAATTTGAAGCAACCTACCATGGTTTGGGAAGTGAAAACAAATCAGATGCCTAATGCAGTACAGAAACTTCTGTTAGTGATGGACAAGAGAACTTCAGGGATGGATGAATCTTTAGAATTGCTAAAGTGTAATGAGAATCTACCTTCTTCTCCTGGATATGCATCTTATGATGAGCACATGGAACTTGGTAAGTAGTATTAAGCTTTCTTAAAATTAGATGGATGTGTATCCCTTTGGGGCAGCTACTGTAAAAGCCAATGAACTGTTGTGTGGTATGTAACATTTGGAAATGGAATATATTTAGCCTAAAGACTATGGTTTGGGTTTAGAGAATATCTTGGGTTTGTGCAAAATAACTTTGCTGGATTGCTGATTTTTTTTATTATACAGTGGTGCCCCGCATAGCAACGTTAATCCGTTTCAGATTAATCGTCGCTATCCGGAAACATCGCAATGCGGGAGGGAAAACCCCATAGAAACACATTAAACTTTGTTTAATGCGTTCCTATGGGGCGAAAACTCACCGTTATGTGAAGATCCTCCGTAGCGCTGCCATTTTCGCCGCCTTGGTAAGCGAGGGCAGCACGTGAAAATGGTTGCGGCGGACATTTTGGAATCAGCTGTGTGAAAATGGGGCCTTTGGGAGGAAAAGCCCCCATTTTCACACAGCTGGCGGGCTGGGGCGCTTCGGAATGATGGCGGGGGGAGCCTTCCCCTCCGGCCGCCCCGCAGGGCCTGTCCCATAACACAGTGGGCGGCCATTTTTTCCAGTGGCCATTTTGGAACCGCCGATCAGCTGTAGAAAAAACATTGCTATGCGGAAATTGGTAACCAAAACAGGGTACCGATCATCGCAAAGCAATTTTTTCCTGTAGGGAACATCACAATGTGATCGCTTTTGTGATTGCAAAAAACGAATTGCTATGTGGATTCGTCGTTAAATGGGGCGCTCGTTATGCGAGGCACCACTGTATGTATTTCATTGAACAATCTGACATAGAAACAGATCTAGACGCTTCCTTCAGTTTGCAGTCAAGGACAGGTGGTTTCACAGTTTTATTGTCCCTTAGTGTAGGGAACATCACAATGTGATCGCTTTTGTGATTGCAAAAAACGAATTGCTATGTGGATTCGTCGTTAAATGGGGCGCTCGTTATGCGAGGCACCACTGTATGTATTTCATTGAACAATCTGACATAGAAACAGATCTAGACGCTTCCTTCAGTTTGCAGTCAAGGACAGGTGGTTTCACAGTTTTATTGTCCCTTAGACTGCATCCCATCTTTCAAACTGTCAGCTACAAGGGTGCAGACAAAATTATAAATGCAGTACACATGTAGAAACCTAGCTGATTGGTAGATATCTTCTGCTATTACAGTGATGGTATTTAGTTTCCACATTTCTGAGGAAGTTGTTTTTCTTCATGGTCTTTGTGAATGCACACTACTGGGTTAATCTGCACCTGTGTAGAGCAGTCTTGGAACTTTCCAGAGTTTGAGCACATGGTGCTGGGACCTCCTATATGCTGCCGTTAATCCTGCCCCCGGCACCAGGTGCCTCAGTTCCTTTCTTATTACTGCTACAGCAGCATATCGATAGGAACTTTCGTGTATCTTCAATTGCTTACCTTCCCTACTCTGTTTTTTTTTTTACCTCCATGGCTTCGTTTGACCGTTGACTACTCTTCTTCGCATTGAGTTTACCTAAAAAATAGAAATGGACTGTTACTCAAGTTATTTGGGTTGTGGAATTTATGGCCACACCGGTCCTCTTTAAGAGGTGCGAGGTCTGTTCAAACAAGGTCCCCTCTTCGATGGACACTCACGGTGCTTATTTTGCTTGGGGGAAGAACACCACCTGGCCTTCTGTGGGGTTTATAAAAGCTTCATCAAGCCGGCTTTAAAGCTGAAATTTCAATGCCTTCGCTCGTTACGTTGGGAGAAGTCCCTCTCACCATCTCAGGGTACTCCCATGGATCCTCTGCAGCCTGAGAAGCAGTCCTCGGTTGAGGGATCTCCGCCTGCTGCCAAAACCCAGAAGGGGGGGGGGCTAAGATGGTGGTCAAGTCTAAAACATTGTCCTCTGGCTTGAGGTGAACGGCCATGGCATCGACACCGAAGCCTCCCTCAGTTTTGATACTGAAGAAAAGAAAGAAGGATTCTAAGCCTCCATACTTGGTGGATACCTCTGCAACGATGCTGGAAACAAACCCGGCGACATTTGGTATGCCTGAGCCTGCCGTCGGGAGATGAGGTTGAACTGCCACCTAGGCTGGAGGCCCTGCCGTCCCTGGGTGTCAGTGATTTTCCTGACTGGGAGAACATGCATTTGGCGCAAGTTAGCCCGTGGACCTCTCCGGGTTCGATAGCTCAACATTCCTTTGTCTCACTGCTGGAGTCGGTGCTTGTGGAAGTGCAGCGGAAAAGGACTCACAAGACTAGACACCTGGAGTTGTATGTTGAGCCTGAGCCCCTTCAGCACCCATCGACCCCGGGGCATGAGTATGCACGTTATGTGATGTGGCGATACTATGATTATGCTCCATATCTGGACTTGGAGGACTTCGAGCCTGACCTGTGCCTTTACCCAAGGGCCTACAGATACGATCCGTATCTACGTTATCAGCATTACCGGCCCTCTTCACCTTCACTCTCCCTTCCCTCCTCGACATCAACGCTACGATGATCGCTTGGCTGGTACCAAGAGGGATTTCGACCCTCCACCTCCACCTTGACCCCACAAGAGATGTTTACCTCCAAACTATGCTGTTGCTACAGAAGCTTAGTGCTTAGTGACCATTGCATCTGGTAGCGGTCCCTGAAAGTGGGCAAGCAGGCTCTGAGCTTCCATGTTCCCCGGCATGTTCCTCGGGTAGGCCAGAGGCCGGGAGTTTGCTGACCCGAGACAATGCTGTCACTTATCATCTGCCCCCTGGAAGGGGATGCTATTCCCCTCCGATTGACCAAGAGGCTTTGGATTCGGGCTCTTTGGAATCGGCTGGAGAGGAAGACTCACCCCTTAATATTCCCACGCCAGCGTCTGATGTGGTAGACAGTTATCCTCCTTTGTCGTCTGAGGATTACTCTTCATATGTCCAATTAATCCTCTGCATTGTGGAGGTGCTGGAACTCAATATCGAACAGCCTATGGTGAAAAAAGTAGATAAGGTGTATGAGGATATAACTCAGGACCAGTCTCCGCCTCTCAAGCTTAGTTTTATTCCTTCCTTGTTGGAGCTTATGAGGGAATCCTGGGTGAAGCCATTCTCCTCCTACCAAATCCCCAGGAGGATGGAAACCCTTTATAAAACTTATGGAGGAAAAATGAGTTCCTCTCGAAAAATCCTTTGCCAAACTCCTTCCTGGTAGATGCCACTCCGAACAGAGCTAGGAATCGCTCAACCTCTGCACCTAATAACAAGGAGGGCCGCAAGTTGGATGTCATTGGCCAAAGGATGTACTCTTTGGCCTCTTTCATCTTGAAAGTCATCGATTACTCTGCTGCCATGGGGGCCTACCATCACTACTTTTGGAAATCGACATTACCCATCCTTGAAGCAGTAACCGAAGATTTCGGGACCCAGGGCTTCTCATGTCGTCAGGAGGCCATGGGGTTGGTTAGGCAAGAGCGTATTGCAGCTTTCCATATTCTAGATGCAGCATCTAAACAGCTAGCCGCAGCTGTTTCCCTGTGTCACCATGCCTGGCTCAGTTCTGCGGGAACTTCTGAAGACACGAGGGCTAGGATTGAGGACCTGCCATTTGATGGCATTGGCCTCTTTGATGAAAAAATGGATGACATTCTGGACAACCTGTTGAAACTGAGGAAGATGGCTAGATCTTATTCTATCTAACAGTCCCGCCCCAGGGGCTCCTGGTGCCAGCCTTACCAACCAAGAGGTTTCCAGGAGCACCAGAGACCTCAGATCTTAGGTTTTTTGTCCTTGTCTTCTAGGCAAGTCGGCAGGTAGTGCCCACGTCAGCAAGCGCTCCACCTGGACCGGAAGACCAGGCAAGCTCTTTGACACTTTCAGCTTGTTTACAGTTGACCCTTCAGTTCACCTTACCCCCTTCTTTCACTCCTGGTGCTCTATTACATCGGACTCCAGGGTTCTTTTCATCATAGCCAGGGGCTATGCCATTGAATTTGATAGTTCCCTGATCACAGGCCACTTTTTGTCCACCACTCCCCTCACCTTCTTTGGAAGATGAGATACGGGCCCTACTCCAGAAGGATGCTATCATCCATTTGCATCATCCTGATGTGTCATTGGGATTTTATTCTGGATATTTCACTGTCCCAAAGAAGGATGGGGGGGCTCTGCCCCATACTTGATCTGTGCAACTTGAACTGGTATATTGCTCCTTGGCAATTTTATATGGTCTCTTTGGAGGCCACCATTCACATGCTTCATCACGGTGACTGGTTATAGTTCTAGATTTGAAGGATGCTTATTTTCATATTAGCATCAGATCACAGGCGATTTCTCAGGTTTTCAGTTGGAGGAGTAACATATGAGTTCAAGGCCCTTCCCTTTGGATGGTCTACTGCCCTTCGGGTGTTCACCAAGTGTCTGGCTCCTGTGGTAGCACATTTGCGTCTTCAAGGCATCACGGTGTTTCCTTATTTGGATGACTGGCTACTGGTAGCACAGTCCGAGTCGCAGGCAGAAAGGCATACAGCGCTAACGCTATCTCTGCTGTCAACCCTAGGCCTGAAGGTCAACGTGGACACATCAACATTGTGTCCTACCCAGGGAGTGGCGTATATAGGAGCAACTTTGGATGCCTTGTTGGATCGAGACTCTCTCCCTCTGGATAGGATTTCAAAGATCAAGTCCACGCTGTGCTGCTTCCTCCCAGGAGCGTGGGTACCAGCCTTGCATGTTCAGCAGCTGCTTGGCCTCATGGCATCCACCACAGCTGTGGTGCAGCATGCCCGCCTAAAAATGAGGTTACTGCAAGCTTGGTTCCTTCCACTGTTCTCAGTGGCACTAGATCACCCGACCAAGTGTTTACAGGTCACGCCCGAATTGGCCACGCAGTTGGCTTTGTGGAACCTCCCATCAAATCTGGCGATAGGAAGACCCTTCAGCCAACTGACCCCATCCCTTCAAATAACTACATACGCCAGCCTGACAGGCTGGGGTGCTCATTTGGGCTCTCACACGATCCATGGCCATTGGTCTTCGACAGAGGCGCATCTTCTCATCAACCAGCTGGAGCTCCTGGCAATTACCAAGGCATTTTGAGTGTTCAAGATTCTTTTGGTTGATTGGGTGGTCCAGGTTGTGGCAGATAACATGATGGCAGTGTTTTATATCAACAAGCAAGGGGGCACCCACTGACTCCAGCTGCTTTACCTGGCCATTGACCTGTGGGAGTGGTGCTTCGTTTGCTACATCTATCCGGTGGCAGTCCACGTGGCAGGTTCCAGTCCTGTTCCCACGAGTGGACTTTAGACAACACCATCTTTCACCAGTTTTGCCTTCGATGGGGCACTGTGCAGTTGGATGTCTTTGCGTCTCAAAACAACAGGAAGTGCAAGAATTACTGCTCAGGGCTGGGGAAGGCCACCTCTCCCTGGGGGATGCCTTTATGATAGGATGGACTTCACACCTGCTCTACATATTCCTTCCCATTCCACTTCTGCAGAGAACCATTGTAAAAGTTCGGCAGGACAATGCAGATGCCATTCTCATAGCCCACTGGTGGCCCTGCTAGCCATGGTTCTCTGCGCTCCACAACAGGGCATCAGATTACATCTGGCTGGCACCCATTTGCCACCTGCTGACCAAGGCAAAATTTTCCATCCAGACCTCTGGAGTCTCTCTACCTGATGGCGAGTAGACGTTGTCTAGAGGGGTGGCATAAAAATCGAATAAATTAAAAAAAATAAAAATAAATAAATGGAGGTTTCCTCGGCTATAGCAGAGGTTCTCAGTCTGGCATGTAAGTGCTCCACCTCCTTGACATACACCTACAAGTGGAAAGCTTTCTGTGCATTTACTTTGGCCATCACTTACCTGTCAGCCCAACGTCCCTTGACACAGTCCTTCAGTTTCTGCTTCACTTGTTTCAGTGTGGTCTCGCCCACTCAACTTTAAATATGTATATGGCTGCCATAGTGGCCCATCAGCCGCCTTCCTATCATGAAGTTACATTATTTCAACATCCCACAGTTTTTGCGGGGCTAAGGAACATGTGCCCGGCCTACAAGCCTCTCACACCACAGTGGTCACTCCAGCTGGTCCTCAATCAGCTTATGAAGCCTCCATTTGAACCCATAGCTTCAGCATCAGCCCGCTTTTTGACCTTAAAGACTGTGTTTCTCCTTGCATCACCTCAGTGCGAAGGGCAGGAGAGATGGCTGCCTTGAGGGTGGATCCTCCCTTCCTCCAGTTTCACCCTGACAAGGTGACCCTATACCCAGATCTCTCCTTCCTTCCTTCCTAAGGTATAATCTTATTTTCATTTAAGCCAGCCAATTGTGCTGCCCCACCTTTTTCCCAGCACCTACCTCACCACTAGAGAGAGCTTTGCATTCTTTGGACATTAAGTGAGCCTTCTCTTTACTGTGTTCATTGCACTGCCACATTCCGCACTTCGAAGAGACTCTTTCTAGCTTTCCTAGGACCCTCTACGGGTGCCCCGGTCACCTCTCAGACCATCTCCAGATGGATTGTTTCGACAATATGCCTTGTATACCAGTTGGCTTGGGTGCCACTCCCAGACACGGTTAAGGCCCACTCAACGATGGCTATGGCCTCTTCAACTGCATTTTTCAAAGGGGTGGAATTCACAGACATCTGCAGAGCTGCCACATGGGCCACACTGTCTACTTTCGCATGCCACTACCGGCTGGATGTCTGGGCCAAGGCTGAGGCTGCTATGGGGCATGCTGTCCTAGCTTCAGTGCTCTTGTGATGTTCCTCCGGGTAAGTCAGCTTGCTAGTCATCCATTAGTGTGCATTCACAGAGACCACGAAGAAGAAAAAGAGGTTACTTACCTGTAACTCTGGTTCTTCGAGTGGTCATCTGTGAATTCACACTCCCCGCCCTTCCTCCCCACTGTCCATCATGTGAGCCTTTTGCATACTGTGCAGCGGCGGAGGGTTCTACGGAACTGAGACACCCGGTGCCAGAGGCAGGATTAAAGGCACCGTGTGGGAGGTCCCGGCACCATGTGCTTGAGCTCTGGAAAGTTCTGAGGCTGCTTTGCACAGGTGCAAATTAACCCATTACTGTGAATTCACAGATACTATTACTATTTGAATAACCAGTTACTGGTAAGTAACCTCTTTTTTTCAAAGTGCTGAAAAATATGACAAGACACCTTATTCCAGATTAAAAAAATGTAATCTGGTAGGTTTACTTAGATTCCTGAAATTATGAAACCCAGATATTCAGAGTTGTATAGCCTATACTGTAAATTATTTGAGAAGGTTTCACATCAAGCTTCATATCAGTGTGATGTCTGCTTTAGTCAAGTAATGATGAGAGCATTGTTGTGTACAAATCCTGAACACTATTGTATTGTGAGACCATTGTGGTGTACAAATCCTGAACACTATTCAGAATTCTTTAAGAAAAGAATGTTTTAGCTCATTCTGTCAGTCCAGTTAAGGCAAAGAGACAGTATTTGTCCCGTTGATGCACAGAACCACCATCATCAAGGAATGTGAAATCTTGGGAAAACTTTATGCCATGGAGACCACGTCCTTTTGAATACAGTGGTGCCTCGCTTAACGATGTTAATTGGTTCCCAAAAAACATTGCTATGGGAAAACATCACTAAGCGAAACACCATTTCCCATAGGAATGCATTGAAAACCGGATAATCCGTTCCAATGGGAACGGATTACCGTCCTTAAGCAAAAATCGCCATAGGAAACATCGCTAAGTGAAACAATGTTTCCCCCATTGGAATGCATTGAAGCCTATTCAATGCATTTCAATGGTTTTGACAGGTCCGTTTTCGCTATTTTTAAAGTGTCTTAAAATGTTCAAAAACTCTTTTAAATGCTTGGGATCGTTAGTGCACCTTGTAAAACCTTTGCAAACTTAATTTGGCTTTGTTCTGAGTCTTCGTTAATTTTTGGTGAATTCACCCCCCCCATTGGAATGCATTGAACTATAGGTTTGACAGCTGTCAAACTACAGTTCAATGCATTCCAATGGAGGGGGAATTCACCAAAAATTAACAAAGACTCAGAACAAAGCCAAATTAAATTTGCAAAGGTTTTACAAGGTGCACTAACGATCCCAAGCATTTAAAAGAGTTTCTGAACTTTTTAAGACACACTTAAAATAGCGAAAACGGACATCGCTAAGCGAAACAGGGGGACCTAAACTGTCATCGCTAAGCGAGGCAAGGTCCCGAGCATCGCTATGCGAAATTTCCTCATGGGGAACATCGCTAAACGGAGTGCAAAATCGCTCCAAAAACCTCATCACTAAGCGAATACATCGTTAAACAAGGCGATCGCTAAGCGAGGCACCACTGTAATTTAATCAAATATAAAAGATTCAAGTATGTGTTCTGCCTCTGTATGGAAGGGTTTATAGGAACTATCAGGTTTCTTTCTTACTCTACAAGTAAAAAGTAATCTGCAGATGTTGGTCTGGAATGGAAATATCTGAGTGTTACATACAGTGGTCAAAATCCTATTGCTTAGCATAATGAATTCCATGAGAATAGGGCCATTGAATCAATGGGGAATTGTTAAGTCAACTCCTCTGTTGTTAAGTCAATTCCTTCTGCATTTCTCTCACTGTTCGCCTTCTGTGAGACATCCAGGTCGCAGGAATGGAGACTGATATTCCAAATGATCCACCACAGATCTTCCCATAAACAGGAGTAACACTGAGTTAAGAGAGTAGAATCCTTCAGGCTACCTAAGTGTTTTTTGTGTTGTACTAATAATGCATGCCAATGTGGCTCCAATTAACATAATAAAGGAACAGGAGCTTAGAGGTAGAAAATAGTGACAAAAATAAGTGTTTGCTGAGGGACTTAAATAGGCTGCGGGGGAATGATTAGCCTGTAGGCGTCAAGTTATGCTTTTATTTGTCAGGTGATCAGAAATTTGACTGTATGTATGCATTTATTTGTAGATGATCTTCCTGAACTGCAGGCTGTTCACAATGATTCTACTCCACCTGCCCTTTTCCAACTGAGTGCTGATGTTTCCCATCAGGAATATTCAAGGCCTTTGTGGAATCAGCATACCTCAAGCAACAGTTCAGAAAGTACTTGTGAGGATGGAGTGAACTGGTTGACAGAATTGGCAAATATAGCTACTAGTCCACAGAGTCCTCTGATGCAGTGCTCTTTTTATAACAGGTATAATATATAGTTCTTCTCATGGTAGAACTTGCAGTATTGTTCATATTAGCCAAAATTCTGTTTGTTGCTTAGCATAGTAAATGGTACTAACGTAGGCCCGTTTAATCCATGTTTGAGCTAATGCTTCTGAAAATCCCATTGATTTAAATGGGTCTATTCTAACTGACTTCTTTTAGCATTGTAAATTGCAGTTAGAGTAGGCCTGGTTGAATCAGTGGGAATGTATGGAGGAATTAATTTACCAAAACCTTATTGATTCATTGGGCCTACTCTAATCAGATTTACTGCACTAAGCAACAGGATTTTGGCCATAGTTTTAAAATTTCTTTTGGCTGTTAAATCCTGGAGAAGTGTTTGTATTGTTACAGTGTTCCATTCCTGAACACCAGTTGGAAATTTTTAAATGGGTGATTATCTAAAGCTGATAGAACTGTTTTAATTCAGTTTTTGTTGCTATATACCATCAAGTCACCTCTGACTTACAGCAACACTGTGAATAAATAATCTCCAAAATGTCCTATGCTCAACAGCCCTGCTCAGCTCTTGTAAACTCAAATGTGTGGCTTCTTTTATGGAGTTGCTCTATCTCCTGTTTGGTCTTCTCTTGATTTCCTCTTTGTTGTTCTCTGTTTCTTGGCACTTGTTATTGTAATTCTTTTTTTTTCTACATGACATTTTAGTGTTCTTTTCCAGCTTTAATGCTAGATGTTAACAGTTCATGATCAATACCACTATCTGCTCCTGGTCTTGTTTTGGCAAATAGAATACAGTTTTTCAATCCCTTGCTTTCATTTATATATATGGGTCATCTGGTGATGTCTGTGTGTACAGCTGCCTGTTTGGTTGTTTGAAACATGTACAGTATTTGTAATAAGCAGATTGTTAGCTTTGCAGAACTCTTTGAGTTGTTCTGCATAGTTATGTCACCTTGTATGTACAGTATTTGTAATAAACAGATTGTTAGCTTTGCAGAACTCTGAGTTGTTCTGCATAGTTATGTCACCTTGGCCAAATTTTGCAACAACATTTGGTTCTATTTCGTTCCCTACTGTTTTGTTCCAGTCACCTATGATTATAAGCATGTCAGTAGTGTGAGTGGTAGTTATTCCCTCATCAGAAAGAATTTAGGTGACATTTGCTCCACAGTGCCTAGTATGAGCAATATAATTTGTTGTACAGAAATCGCTCACTGACTATGCAGATTAACCTGAGAAATTTTTCATTCTTTCATTTTTTGTTTATACCCCACCTTTCTCCCTAAGAGGACTTATTAAAAGGAGTTAATATTAAAACTAAAAAAAAATTAAAATTTTAGAATATTAAAAAGCAATGGAGCCACTGTCATAAAATTGATATATAAAAATGTTTTAAATAATTTTTATTAAAGTTATTTTTAATAATGTATTTTTGGTCTTTAAAATATATTGGTAAATTACATTTCCTAGTGGAGAAATTGATTTAAATACAAATGGTCTTATTCAGAAGCTTAGCTGTGGAATTTTTTTCTAAGTGTTTTAAAGTTACTAGAGGTAATCAACTTGTTTTATTGTGAATACATTCTCATATGTACATTTATTGTAATTATTTTGCAAAATAACTGGTTAGGCCTTTTTTGTTCTTTGGTGGTTTTAATTTGTTTTTTGTATCTTGAAATATTTCTATTGACAGTTGTCATTTTTAATTTTCAGTTTCACAGTTTATTGTTTTAATAATGTTGTTACTATATAATTTCTATTTGTTGTTACTATATAATTTCAACTTTGGTTGCCTACATAGGATGGAAGAGTGACTTTAAAAACTTTTAAAACGCTAGTGGCACCATGACCAGTGTGATTGCTTTGAACCCCTTAGTCACAATTCTATAGAAAAGATGGTACTGATAGTCTAGAATAGACACCTGAGTTCCTCTAGCTAAGAATGCTTTGAAGGATGAAATAGATACTTAGAGCCATGCACCCCAATTATAACCTGGCAGACACTTTGGTTGCCTACATAGGATGGAAGAGTGACTTTAAAAACTTTTAAAACGCTAGTGGCACCATGACCAGTGTGATTGCTTTGAACCCCTTAGTCACAATTCTATAGAAAAGATGGTACTGATAGTCTAGAATAGACACCTGAGTTCCTCTAGCTAAGAATGCTTTGAAGGATGAAATAGATACTTAGAGCCATGCACCCCAATTATAACCTGGAGTAAGGTGGGCTGTTGGAGCAGTGTGATAGGGTTTACACTGTTTGATAAATCTAGTACAGTGGTGCCTCGCATAACGAGCGCACCGTTTAACGACGAATTCGCATAGCGATCCGTTTTTTTGGGATCGCTAATGTGATCACATACCGATGCTTTCTATGGCCGAAAATCGCTTTGTGACGTTGCATAGCGATTTTTAAAACACCTGATCGGCGGTTCCAAAATGGGATGCTTTCTATGGCCGAAAATCGCATAGCGATTTTTAAAACACCTGATCAGCGGTTCCAAAATGGCCGCCAGACGCCCAAAATGGCCGCACACAGCGTTTTCGCGCCCTGCCCTCGCTTACCGAGGGCACGAAAATGGCGGCCGGATCGGGAAACATCGCAGAACGGTGAGTTTTGGGCCCCATTGGAATGCATTAAACGAAGTTTAATGCGTTCCAATGGGTTTTTCCGTTCCGTATAGCAATGTTTCCCCATAGCGACAGTTAATCCGGAACGGATTAACCTCGCTATGCGGGGCACTAAAAAAAAAAATTGCAGGCCTCTTACCAATGATTCCTTTTTTGATGTGACCCACAGGTTACCCTTGCAGAGCTACTTAAGGTTGAAGCCCCTGACCCTCCTTTCCTCAAGAATTGTAGGTGTGAGCATATTAGTTGAAGAGTGACTTAATTTGCTTGGAGTTTCTGTTAATTCCACATACTTCTGTATCTGATATTTTAGAATCTGTTACTTAGCACTATGGGTTTGCTAAGCTAGTCATTAAACTATAACAGACAGAAAATGTGCTATATTGCATTAAAATGCAAATTGTTTGAACTGAAAGCAGATCATTTGTGTTCTGCTTGACAATGTGAATAAATGGCTAAAGAAATGCTACTGCATGAGTAGTATCTTTTTAACTATATTAAAATTAGAGAATCAGTTCTCAGTGCTGTTCTTGCTGTTATAACAATAACTGAGTACTTGGGTTTACTTGCTATTGTTGTCTTGAAAGTTCATGACATGCTTTTAGCAGAAGAGGGTTAAACTGACTTTCAGATTAGCATAATTTCAGCACCAGCATTTCTGACAACTGAATTCCTAGGATAGAACTCGCTCTGATGCATTAATTGGAATATTTGGTGGGCTAGGTTTTTTTTCAACCTATATTTCTAACATTTAGGATTTTTTAAAAAATCTTTTTAGATCATCTCCTGTGCACCTAATAGCTACAAGCAAAAGTTTACATTCCTATGCACGTCCACCACCAGAATCATCACAAAATGATTCTGGTTTTTCTAAGCATGATATCAGTGACTCGCCAGTCAAACATGAAAGGGTAAGTTTTGTAAGCTTCTTATCTTAATTTCTTGTCTGTCACTGATAGCAGTCTATGTGATATTGTATATAATGAGAAGAGCTTCACAAGCAAAGAGAGATATAAAGTGAACAAAGAAAAACCAAGCTTTATGATGTGCGGTATGTTTGTGTGTTAAGGGCAAGTAGAATAATTGGAAAGATAAGCTATAGAGGAAAACACATGGAAGCGTTTTCTTTTTCTTTTTTTGCTGCAGCAGATAAACATGGCTACTTGTGTGTTTGTTTTTAGGCAAATCAAAATATACTATATGGCTTGAGCTTTCTCTAGAAGTATTATTATTCATGTTACACTTTGAGAACTGCTGTCTGACGTTTATATTAACACATTATATTGTGTTAATGCTCCAGGTGTCCTTTGATGGAACAAAAATATAGCGTGTATGCTTCAGTTATGAATGGAAGAAGAATGCAGCACCAGAGTAGTAAATTCCAGTGCTTAGATATGAAATGGCTTGTAAAAGATTTGTTCCTGGGACAGAAGTAAAGAAATTATGAAGCAGTAAAGTAAAATAAAAAAAGTGGAGAGAGACAGTTTATTTAAAATATGGTTAAGTAAGAGATAAGGGTGGGCTTTTTAAAGGAATCATTTTAAAAAATGTTAGTCTTGGAAAGATGTATTTAAAAATTCTGATATGTTCTCGTTTTCTCAATAGACAAATAGTGAATCAGAGTCTGGCATTTTCTGTATGTCATCACTGTCAGACGATGATGATCTCGGGTGGTGCCACTCTTGGCCTCCAACTGTTTGGCATTGTTTCCTTAAAGGTAAAATATAAAAAAACCCTATATTTACAGGGTTTAATAATCAGGCCTGTCCTATTGATGACTCTAAATTCCTTATTTTTTAAAAAACAGGAACACGTGTATGCGTTCACAAAGGATACAGTAAAGAATGGATGGATGTTGAAGATTTTGCTAGATCCAGACGTTTTAAAAATGAAACTGAGGATTCTAGTAGTACCAGCAAAGTAAGTTTTAAATAGTTAAAATTCAGAATTGATTTTTAGTATTGGATGTCTTGCATGTCATGTTTTGCTTTATGTCATATTTTATGCTATTTGGAGCTTGATTTTCCATGTATTTATTTTTATTTTATTTATTTTAGTATGGGGCTGTGAGAATACAAATTAATTTTGAGCTTGATGTTTAAAACTAAGTTTTTTGTTTCTCATATTGCGTTGTCCAGAAGGACATAATAGTTATGTTTTGAATGTTGTGTATATCAGTTAACTTGTAGTCATCATGTGCTTTAAGGAGATGGACACAAGGTATTTATTTGCATGTAATCAGCACCCTGGAGTGCTGCATTTCCCTAAATGAGGAATGACATAATTTATAGGGATAGCACTGTGAGGAGGAAGGAATAAGTAAGTGAGGCCTGGATTGCTACTTGATTGTTTGCCTAAGAGCATTTGTAACTTCCCTGAGACAAACAGATGGTAAATTGCATGGCTGTACTTCCAAAGAAAAAGTTCAATTTTGGAATTAATTGCTTCGTATTAGACAACATAGTTCATAGTCATTCCTGCTCCTTGTGCTTGATGCATGGTGTAACAGAAAAAGCAAGTATATTACAGTAAATTGAGATTATTTTAACACCCACATGGGCCTCTTGAGGGCTGTGTGTGTGAACACTGGCTGCTCTACATGCATCCCACAAAGCCTAGTATCAGGTGGGCTGCAGTTGAAAGGTGGCTGTCTAGGGTCTGCTCTTAGGAGTGCTACAGTAATAACCTCAGTGAGAGTTATGAGGCAGTGAGAGATGCTTCCGCTGTTCCCTCCCAGCAATCCTAGCACTGCTAAAGATCCTGGTGTTGCCAATATAGCTCAAGCAAGTGGGGAAGCCGAAGTCTTTGAGGTGATTGCTGTCTCTATGAGTTGGGGAGGGGGCTTTCAACTTTCCAGTCTCCGGGTGAGTCCCAGGCACCTGAGACTGCTGTTGCCTCACTGTCAGGAGCATAGGGCAAACAGCAGTCCCAGTGGACCAAACTTTAGGAAGAAGTGAACAGTTCCCTTTAACCTTTTGCAGAGAAGCACAGTTTCTCTGCTACTGTGAGAAGGGGGGTTGGGGAGAATAGTCAACAGAATCAGGATCCATTGCTAGCTTTTAAAAAGCTTGGAAGAGAAATTTAACACTGCTGTCCTTGTGCCCTGAGATATGGACAAAGAGCAATGCATGTGTAGCCCCCAACTTGGCATCACTTGTGACTGTTGGACCAAAGTGGTTGCTTTGTTTTAAGCCATGGTGGCTAAGCCCTGAAATTCTGTGGGCTGACTTTTAGTTCTACTAGGAAAAAAAGTGGTTGCAGTATGCACGGGTTTACTGTTTCTTCCAAATCTAAAGCTGGTTTGTTTATACAGGGATATGGTTCTGATGGTTTGAAGTTGATATCACATGAAGAAAGCATTTCCTTTGGCGAGTCAGTGCTAAAATTGACTTTTGATCCGGGCACAGTCGGAGATCACTTTCTTACTGTAGAATGTAGACTAGATCATCCATTCTATGTTAAAAATAAAGGTAACATTTTTTTCAGTTATAAATATTACTAATACCTTCATAACATGTGATAAAATGAGGAACATTGTTCTATAGTATATTTCAGTAATTCCAAGCAACAGTATTCTCTTAGTAACCTAAAAATCCATACTTTTTCTATCTCTCTTGAAGCAATCATTTCACATTTTAGATCTGCTTCCCAAAATTTTATGAACAACTGACTCACTGCAAAAGACAAGGCATCCATCCAAGTATTTATAGTTCTGTGAATTGGGGTCAGAGGTCTTTTAACTGGAATGTGCTGGAAGAAGGGTGGAGATGCAATTTTTGCCAGTTCCTCCTCCTCCAAACCTCGGCCCCTCTAAAACTGCTCTGGAGTATCTGGGGGACCTTCCAGAATCCTGTAGGAGGTGTTCCATGGTATTACTGGAGGAAGGGAGAATTAGCAAATAATGATTGTCATTCCTATAATAGTAGCCTGCAATCTGTGGATGGAAGAAGCATATCCATTTGTAGAAAGTATACTGGATCTGGCCTTTTGTTTTTGACATGAAATTACCAGTGACACTCTTTCAAAGTTCTAATGGATTTTTAAAAGTTTTCTGATTTTTTTTAAAGGACAGTGGACCAAATCCTGTTACCTAGTTCTGCTGGTGTAGCATAAATGATTTAACTTTTGGAGGTGAACTGCTCCAAGTTAAGAAAACACAATAGAGAGTTGAATACTGTGGTGTATGACTTCACATGCAACTGATGTCTGTGGTCCTTAATTGGGAGAATTTGCCTCCAGATTTATGCTATTTGCATAACTACACAAGAGGGTTTTGGCCACTGTATTGTAAAAAGAGTTTTAATACTAGCATTTGTAGTTGCTTTACCAGTAGTGCTATTACAGAATAAAACAGTTTTGATGTGTTTGCATTTCAAGTCTCTAAGTGACTACAATGTTCCCCCAGATTTAAATATACTATCTGTGGCAGCCCTTATGTAATAGGATTGTCAATCATGTTTCAGAATGCTAACAGGATTTTTTAAAAAAACAGTGCCTTGAAGTTTTGGATATATTTTGAATCTAATGAGAATTGTAGTTTATTAATGTTTAGAATGGTATGGCATATTGCACACTTCTTGTATTTCTTGATGACAGTGAGAATTTTAGTGTCTTCCAGTGAAAGAAATTTGAGTTCAGTAAAGTGGGTCCAGCCTATTGACAGTTACAGCTCTATCATAGTTCACACAAAAAAGGTGGGTGGGTGGATAGGATTGGACATTTTTTGTCCCAGTGCATTATTAGACTGCAGAAAGAAAATACCTTATATAAGAAAAGAAAAGTGCATTTCGGGGACTTTTTTCTTTTTAAAAAACCCTATACATGCCACGTACAGTGAGAACCAGCGTGGTATGGTGATAAAGTGTCAGACTAGGATTCGTATCACATATCCCTTGAAAATTTATTTCAAAATAATTCACATGAAGTACAGTCATGGCCAAAAATATTGGCACCCTTGCAGTTCTGTCAGAAAATGCAACCCTTCTCTCCAAAAATTGTTGCAGTTGCAAATGTTTTGGTACTAACATGTTCATTTCTTTGGTTTGCGCTGAAACAACACACACACACACACAAACAAAAACAGAGAAGAAAAGTCAAATCTGATAGAACCCAAAAATACACTGGCCAAAATTATTGGCACCCTGTCTAAATTGTAAGAAATAATTGCTTTTCAAGCATGTGATGCTCCTTGAATTTGTATTTAGACACACCTGTCGCAAATAAGAGGTGTGGTCAATATAGCAATGACACTTGCAACCAGCTAAGACAGAGAAAAGTTGACTCAACCTTTGTGTTGTGTGTGACACTGAGCATGGAGAAAAGAATGAAGTAAAGAGTTGTCTGTGAATTTGAAAGAAAAAAATGTGGAAAAACATTGACAGTCTCAAGGCTACAATTCCATCTTCAGAGATCTTAATGTTCCTGTGTCCACTGTACGCAATACCCTCAAGAGGTTTACAACCCATGGCACTGTAGCTAACCTCCCTGGCCGTGGAGCAAAATTACTGAAAAA